GCAAAAACCAAACAACCCAACCCCTCTGCCCCCCCCCCCCACCAGCACTCTTCCTGATGTTTTAAAGAACTGGGTTCCTCTTTCAGACTTTCAAATTTTGTTTTCGCTCTTCTGGGAACCATCTACGTTTTCTGAGTTTTGGAGGGGCTTTTCCCTTCTTTTTTTATCATTTGGGACATCACGGTTATGATGATTTTCCTTTCCCCATCTTTTTCGGACCTTTTGGATACGGTCACGGAGCTCGCTCCACCTTTTTCTGGATGGTCCGGACTTCCGAATTTTAATTAATGGTGCTTTCCATCTTTTTCGGGATCCTTCAGACCTCGTTCCCCACCATCACCGCCACCGTTATAATTTCCTTTTGCCAGCTTCCTTGATCTTTTGGACGATGGTAAATTGGTGATTTTTTTTATTCGTAAACTGCCTAGAGTCGCTTATGCAGGGAGACGGGAGGTGTATAAATTTGATAAATAAGTAAATAAATAAATAGATGACGATGATTATGATGAAATTTGCTTTCCCTGCCTGACCATGCCGCTTCAGGGTCACGGCTACGTGCTGTAACCATGCTAAACCGAGGGGAAAATGCATTCAACGGGGAGAGAAGGGGGCAGAAATACCTTGTTATAATAGCCGTAGGTGATGGTGTTGGGGACGATCCCGGCCCGCTTCATTTCCAGCATGACTTGCACGGACAGTATCGGTTCCCCGTATTGCCCGCAGAGCTGCATCAGGATGCGATAGCACACCTTTCAAGGAGGAAGGGGAGGAGGTGTGGATGCCAAGGAGACACGGGGCCCTCTGCCCTCTGCCCCAGCTAGGTCTAGGGGGAATCCTGACCACGGCTTAGCGGCTGTGGGTTCACGCGGGGCCACTGCGAAAGAAGGGTCTCTCAGGACGAGCGGGGAGCCGCACAGCAGATTGGGGAGACGCACCGCTGGAGCAGGTTGGGCATGGCCAGGGGTGATGGCTGCTGGAAACTGTAGTTCTACAACATCTGGAGGGCTATAGCCCCCCCAGCATCAGGGGCTGGGGTCTGCCCGTCACTACATCCGAGGATTGGCGATCGATAAAAAGCGAGATAATCCACCGCGAGCAAATTCAGCAGAATGGATATAAAGGCCTCCCTCGACCCATAACCAAACTCCCTCTCTGCTGGAGCCACACGGCTTACCCCGGGGGGAGGGGGGAATTTCAGAACCCCCAAGTTACCAGTCCTCAAGGTGGAGAAAAGCTCGGAAAACTTGGAGGTTAGGAAGGGCGGACCTCGAAGCAGGTCCTGCCTGCGCCAAGCTCAGGATCGCTCCAGCTGGAACCTCTCCGTGGAAGAATGGAGTCCTACCTCGTCTGGTAAGACCACCTCTTTGGTCTCCATCTGCTTGAGTGCCTCGTACGCGATTTGCAGGGCCTGCACCTTCGATGTCGCCATGCGGACGTAAGCGGGCAGCGTGATAAACCACAGAGCGTAGCAGTGACCCAGCAGGCACTTGGCCCACATGTCCGGCACCGAAGAATACTTCTGTGCTACTTTCTGAGCGACCTTGATTTCCTGAAAAGGATGGTGATTTCATTTCAGTTCATTTCTTCCTATTCCATAGAAGCCCATGGTAATCGTTCTCTCAGTCCGCGAGATCTCCCAAATGGATCCCTAGTGCTGGGAAGAACCCCGTTTCCCCTTCAACCGGAAAAGAGGGGCACTGTGCCAAGGGATGAGATGCCTAAAAATAAGCTCGAAAGGCAGGGAGGCACCTGACCAGCCAAGCGGGGGGGCGCGATTGGAAATCTCCCCCCGCCAATATTGATTCTCTGACATGGAGGGATGCGGTAAGCTCTCACCACCGATCCTGGGGATCGTTTACCTGCTGGGTCCGGCGAGGGGCGGGGCTGCTGGGGGCGCTGCTTCGGGCTTGGCAGAGTGAGGGCATGAGCTGGTCCTGGGGCCGCTGAAAGAGCTTGGTCTGGAGCATTGGGAAGCCATCATATCTAGGGGGAGAAATAACCGGAGAGCCGAACCTGGATGTCTCGTTCTGGGCAGCAGGAGCGATGCAGGGAGGCCATTTTTAAGCCAAAAGGCATTTCAGAGCCACCTTGTTGGTCTTTTATGTACTTCGGTAATTTAGACAGGCGCCCAGCTCGAGCGTCGTGACTCTGGACCGGTCACAAGGCTTACCCACGAAAGCAAAACAGAAAGAACGCTGCGGGTGGATTCTCTTCCCTTCTCCTGTAACTGACGTACTGGGGGGGGGGGGAGAAAAGCGTTTGGGTTTGCAGGGAAGAAGAAAGAGGGTAGAAAGAGAATCCCAAAGTCTCCATCTTAGCATTCACAGAGACGTCTTGGGTCTAAATGGGAACTGGTTCCGTTGCTGGAATTCTTGCAACTCCATCGTTTCCCTCTCAATAAATCTCGCTAAAGAAAACTCCGGCTTGGAAAAGAATCTGGATACGGCTTGTGACCCTCCCAGCCTGGCGAACTACGGGTTCCGGCTTTGGGTTGCCTACCCGGCAAGGTGCTAACAAACAGAGGAGGCACTCTGCGCCCTGCCCCGAGCGCTTTTCTGCGGGATAGAGTTGGGAGGGTGAAGGAGGAAGGAGCAAGGAAAGAGGCTAAGACAGAACGATTTGACGTTATATTCCCGTCGGAAAGCCACCCGGCTGGGACACTCACTGGTAACGGGGTGGCAGTTCCAAGCCGTTGGGCCCCGTGGGTTCTTCGGGGGGCATGATGAAGACGGTGTGCTCGCTGCCGTGCGTGTCGTCCAGTTCAATCAGAGGAGCTTCCTCTGGTTTCTCTAAATCCACCTGCACCTGAGTCGACGTGCCGAAAGGAGAAGAGGAGTTGAAATTTAAGCCGCCGTCCCACGGAGGAGGCATCTTAAGGACTTGGCCAACAACTGCTCATCTAGGATTGAGAGGTGGGCCTCGCAGGCAGAAACTCTGCTCTTGGTGTTGAAAAACCTCCAAAGCAGGAAACACTGAGAAAATTTAACTTCTAATTGCTTCCCCCACTTTTTAGTAGCATCTGCTCAGTCATTTATGGGCCCCTGCAACTAAGGTTCAACTTTTCAGGACAGCACGGGAATAATTTTGGTGTTGGGCTTCACCTCCCTCTCTCTCTATATATATATCTACAGGGTGCACCAAAATTCAGGCCCCATAGACAAATTTATTACATAAATTCCATTAAATGTTCCAATCGGTTGCCATTTTCTTCTACACTCTCCCTTATTCGTTCGACGCACAACCTTGGAACACTCCTAAGTAGTCACCTTTGCTCTGAGAAAAGAAATATTATTAATAAGACATTGTGACTAGACACTTGGTACACTATATATGTGTGTGTGTGTGTGTGTGTGTGTGTGTGTTTTTCATCTTCTGCTGCGGTTCTGCCTCGTTTTAGAACTTCTTTAAATCCAGTTTTTACTGTTTTGGCTCTTGTTGTTTGGCTGATAATATTATTATTATTATTATTATTATTATTATTATTATTATTATTATTAAACTTAACAACTTAACTTAAATTATCGTCATCCTTCAAATAGAAATTGAGCAAATCTAATGGTGGGGCCAATAGCCATCGACCATAAGAAAGAATCTTTTTCTCTTTCTCATATTATGAATAACAATCAAATATAGTAGATAAAAGGTTTTTTTTTTTTAAAAAAAGGGGGTTGATGGAAATATTTATTTCCATGGTTTCAGAAAATGTGATGCTTGGAAAAACTCTGCCTCGATCTGTTTTGGCTCAACAACTTTCTCACCCTCTACAAGTTTTACACTGGTTAGGGAGCCAGTAATTAGAGCCCAGGTATGTAGGTTAGGGACAGTAATTAAAATAAAGCCCAGTTGAAGGTAAATTCAGGTCCCCTTCCAGCTACCTTGTCAACGCAGGAATCAAAAAACTCTAAGCAAGCATGCCGGTCGCTGACAAAGGAGCATTCCTCGATGAATTGTGTGAAGAGCTGCGTGCGTAAAAGCTGCCCGTAGAATTTGTGGTAGGCTCGATCGCGTGACTTCAGGAAGCCTGTAAAGGGAGCAAGCGAGAGAGGAGTTCCTTTTACTATGGTTCTTGCAATTACCGTTGCCCCAAAGTTCACAAGGAGCAACAACCATAAAGGAAAGGGAGTGGGGAGGGATGAGGAAAACACACGCAAGCGTTCCTTCCTAGGCTGACGGGAGGGGCCAAACGTCTCTCCACATCAGTAGCACGATATGGAGTGGATTCTTAATTCAGAGACCTTTCTCTTCTTATCCTGGCTCCCTCCAGATGCTTGAAGCGCTCCCTTGCTTCGCGTCCTCGTTCCGGAAGCCGCCGTTTTCAAAAAGGATTTTTAAAAAAAAACTGTTTATGGAGGGGACTGTCGGCAGCAAGCCTTTGAAGAAGCCGTGCCCTTCACACCCAGGGAGACGCTTGCTCTGAAACACGTACATCACCAAGAGCGGGAAAAAAAAGGGGGGGCCCCAACGACAACACGTTTTTGGGCAAGGGGAAGAACCGATCAACCCCAGGCTTGAATGGGAACAGCCGATGCCAGCCTGGGTTCAAACAGGGGGAATCTCCCCGTTCTCTCCCGGTTCTGCGCCTGCCACCCCTGACCTGCGTCTTGTCCCCGAAACGAGGCTACCTTGCAGGAAGAAAAGACTGCTGGAATCGCGGGTCTTCTCCGAAGGCGCCTGCGTGATGGGCCGGAGGTAGCTGCGGTAGCCCTTCAGCAGACAAGCCATGAATCGGAGGAGGGCCCCTCGGATGTCCAGCTCCAGCTGTTTCCGGCGCCCGTAGATGACGTCGTAGTCGGTCAGCAGAAACTCCAGCGAGGCTTCTTCCACCGGCCGGTTGTACACTGCGGAGGAAGGACTGAACCGTCGGCCGGAGAAGGCAACGCCGAAAACCGCCTTCGCCAAGTCAGGGAGCTTGCCCATTAAGGGAGGTGGGCAACCCTTAATTCTGGCTTAATATTTTGCAGAGGGCGGGCCGCACTGAAGAGGGCGGCGTCGGGGCTTGAAGGACATCTGGGGTCCTCGATTCTGAAGGGTTCGAAATAGCAAGAAATGGCGCTTTGGGTTTTCAGGTCAGGGGAGCAGAGGATGGGAAAAAAGGGGATCTGGGGGGCACCGGGAACCCCACCGTGTTGTCTTCCCCAACAGCCTCACTCCCGTTTCGTGATCAGAGACGGTCGGTTTGTCGGTGGTGGGACGCCACGCCGAGACACTCCCACTGGGACTTACTCTCATCCAGCTGGTGGTACTGGGAGTTTAATGACGCCAGCAACACTTTGCACGGTTTCCGGGGCAGAGCGCGGGTCGACAACGGCTTCCGCTCCTCACACCTGCGCACACAGCAAAGCTGTCCCTACGATTAGTGCCTCCTGCTGGGGTCCCCGGGAACGCTAGCCTCTCCCCCGGATTGCTCAGCCTGAGACCCTTCCCCTGCCCACGGGGTAGAGAATCGAATCAGGAGGAAGAAGGGCATCGATCAAGAAGAAGTGCCAAAAGCCACCGGGCGGACTTTGGGGCTCACTGAAAAAAAGGGCGCGTCCCAAGGTAGAAGGGAAGGTGAGAAACAAACTCAAAGCGGCCCCATCTTGATTTTCTTTAGTATGCGATGGGACAGAAAGGACCACTTTTGAGATTCGGTGGTTAGGGTTAGGGTGTTATAGGTATAAACCCTAGAACAATAATAAAAAAAAAGAATCTTATTTCTCAACTTGGCTTGTTGACAATGCAAACTTCTACAAATATTGCCTTCATTCCTAGCTTTGGCTGACAGAGTTCAGTGGCCACGCTTCGCCCTGATTCGATCCCCGAGGTTTTCAGACCGGGGTAGGAAAAATCTCTGCCCCAAATCCTGCGTCAGGTCTTGCAATCTTTTGAACCGACGGAGTTGGGACCTTCTGCTTGCGCGCTGGGCTGGGGTCTGTGGATCCCACGACTGCGCGGCCCTGATGAAGCGGGATGAGAAGACTCACTGGAAGATGGTGTTCGTGTCAAGGTCGACGCAGATGACGTCGTGCGGAGGGTCGTAGATGTCGAAGTAACTGGAGTGGACCCCCACGATGAAGGGCACCGGGGCGCACAGCACATCGGCCAGGGTAAGTGGACAGAGGGGGATATACGGGCATTGCCAACGCAAGGGGAAAATCATCTGGAGGAACAAAGAGAAGGGGGGGTGAATATAGAATTATATTATGCGCGCGCACGCACACACACGCATATACATAGGCGTGTTCGCTGCTCTGAGTTGACCCAATAGTTTTTAAAAGCTGGATTAAAAATATAATAATAATATAGGTACGGATGTATCTAAAATTTTACACAAAGCTTCCACGGAGGGAGACTGCATTTCACGGCAACCGTCCATCCGTAATCTACGCCACAAGGCAACAAGGTTGGGCTTTCCATCCGCGGCGTAACGCTCGATCCTTCCAATTTCTCTTAGCCAAAGAACGGCACACGGAGACCCCCCCCTTGTTTTGTGTGTGCTTGAGGTTTCCAGCCCCCCTCTTTTCCCCTTCCCCAGCCTTTCGGATTGAAGGCCACGGACGCTCACCGAGACCAAGGCTTCCCCGATGCTGGTCAAGACGTCCGGCCGGAGGGAATGGATAAGGAGCTTCTGCTCGGTCAGCACGGCCACCAGGAGGGCCACCGTGTGCTCGGAGCCCAGTGTCTGTAGCAGGGTGAGAAAGCTGGCCCCGCTGCAAGCAGAGGAGGGAACCGTCAATTCTCCGCCCCGGCAGAATTTGGGCGAGAGTGCAGATCCGGCTGCCCCGTCCCGCCCATACCTGAGAGGTAACGGTGACGACACGGGTTGGCACAGCAGCAGGTTGTCGTAGGGGGACATCTAGGGAGCGAAAAAGAGGAAGGGGGGATGAAGACGGAGGAGCTGATCCGCAACCCCACGCGGGGCGAAAACGCACGGCCGGCGGCGCTCCTCTTTGCGCTCCCGTTGGCACCCGAGCAAAACGCCCCAAAGGTGTCGCAAAGGAGGTGCCCGGGTTTCTTTGCAGCAAACGGGAATTGTCTTGAGCCTTGGAGAGATGCATGATGGGCCCAGGTGGGGCAAATTAAAGGCAAAGCAAAATAATAATAATAATAATAATAATAATAATAATAATAATAATAATAATAATAATAATAATAATAATAA